GTGTGTGTGTGTGTGTGTGTGTGTGTGTGTGTGTGTGTGTGTGTGTAGGAGAACATGTTACTGAAACACAAACACACACCTTGACCAGTTCCATGACCAGGTACAGTTCACCATAAGTGTCCACCTCCTCGATGAGTAAAACGATATTTGGATGTTTGACCCTCCGGAGGATGGCCACCTCATTCTGGATCATGTGCTCCTTAAAAATCAAAAACAAACAAACAAACAAACAAACAAACAAACAAACAAACATACAAATAAATAAATAAATAAATAAATCAACAACACTTTTATTGGCAAAATGAAACATTTAAAGGATGTTTCTGTACCACGGCAAGAAGGTGCAGGCTATCTGCTGAGGTCAGCAAATGTTTGGGGGCATTACGCTCAAACATGAGTATTATTTTCATTGCCTGCCGTAGAAGTCGATACAGCAATGAATGTTTTTGCTCTTATCTGTAGGTTTGTTTACCTGTGGTTTTAGCAACATATCTCATGAACCACTGAGAAAATGTTAATAATGCACAGAAAGCTATTGCTGTGTGTGCATCTGCAGCTTAGAATTAGAGATATTGAGCTAAAGTTTGGTGTGGTAGTAGCTAAGACTCTTTTTCATTCCTTTCTCTGAGAATATCATCAACTCTGGCATGAAAAGTGTTATTTCCTTTCATCTGTTTTGTTACTGGAATTTTACTTTTGTAGCTACTAAAGAAATTTGATGAGAAAACAACAAATAAACTCATTCTAGATTTTCTTCATAGACCATGAAATGGATTGTTTTGTTCCAATAGTTTCATTCAGTTGGTTTTTTGTTTGTTTGTTTACCTTGCCTCTGCATTTGCCTTTGTTGATGATCTTCAGAGCATACTCTCGTCCCGTGGAGAGCTCTACGCATTCCCGAACGACAGCGAAGTTCCCATCGCCGAGCATCCTCCCCACCTTGTAGCGGTCTGATATGCAGGACGGCACGGCTGGAACCTCATCCACGAGAATCTCAGCTGTGGAAAGAAGCGTAAGTTTTGAAGTGCCTGTGACATGCAGATCCTCCAAATACAAAAAAAAGTCAAAGAAAACATCTTTGTATTAACAAAACTTGATCTAACACTGATGATTTTATCCATTTTATCACGTAAATGACATATTTTCTTTTGAACTCCGCTCAGCTAAAGTGAAACAGGAAGTGACATCGAAGGGGAACTCTAAGAAAGAAAACTATCTGGTCTTCATTTATTGAAACAATATTGAATATTGAACACTGACTCTTTTTCATCTCTCTGATAGTGATTAAAAATAATCTAAAGAAACATCAGAATCATCTCCACAGTCTGTTGTTGTTTACATGCGGACATCCCCCCTTTGACATCACTTCCTGTTACTTCAAATGAGAATATCTCAACAATTGTTTATCTCAGCGGCGTGAAATTCCTTTTGCAACATGTCATCAATGTTCTCTTTCCAAAAATGCATTTATATTTATTGCAGAAATGGTATGTCATGGGGCACTTTAAAAAATGTTTCGAAACTCTGGAATCTGGATCAGTTCAAGAAGCTAATATGTTAAATCCTATAAAAGTGATTCAGTAAGACTATGTATTTGCAAAAACATCCTGATGGTTATAAATACTTTTATCAACAGAGCATAATAACTCAGTCAGAGACTTTAGTTGCATCCACCAGCTGCTATTTTGTCACACTGAGGCTCAGCAGAGTCCTCTGTAAATAATAATCAATCAGGCAAATGGAAAATTAAATGTGGAGCCAACTGGTAAATCAAAATGCAAAGCTGCATGGGTTTAATAACGCTCATGGATTAATTTCGGAACATCTTGAAATGTTTTTTTTTTTTTTGGGCTTTGTAAATAAAATCAAAGATGAAAATGTCAGATCAGATTAGTGTCCCCTCCCCCCTTCATTCAAAAGACATTAATCATTTTTTTTCCCAGCTCAATATTCTAACCAACCTTTATAAATTTTGAAACCACATTATTGTCTCGCAGGGAGGTGTGGGAGGGGGGCACGAAGAGGAGGGGTAAGGTGTGTTGAGAACAGAATGTACAAATCAGGAGGAGGGCAGAAACAGGAGGCAGAGAAGCACCAAAGGTCACAAGCATGAGTCACACGAGGCTGATATTTGCGAGCGCTGAGGCTTTTGTCGACTAATGTGGAGA